TTTTTTTTTTTTTTTTTTTTTTGAAAATTAACTAGAACTTTTGTTGCATCACTTTTGATTATTGTCGTTTTCCAATTTTTTTTTTATTTTATCATTTTTTCTATATTTTAGCTTGTTTTGGGTGATATTTTTGGTTGCTATGTTTATTATAATGCATCTTTCATATGTTTTATACCTACCATTTCAATTAGTTTCTTCTTGCAACAGTCAGTGGATGAGCTTATCAGCATGGCAGACAAGTTTTATGATGAAATTGCCTTGCCGAAACTGGTAATATTACATTTCTCAGGATTTCAAATTTCTTTAAATAACAGATGGATTTTAGACATGTATCAAGAACTGAATGTATTACTATTTAGGCTATGGACTTTGGATCACTTGAACTTTCTCCAGTGGATGGGCGTACACTGACTGACTTCATGCATTTGAGAGGATTACAGATGCGATCATTGGGTAAAGTGGTGAGAATACTTTTCTCTCTTTCTTTGATTCCTCTAGAAACACCTTTGCTAGCTAAGGATGACCTTTTGGACCTAGTATTAATAATATTCTTTCTATATCTCTAAAGCATCTCCCAAAGAATGTTAAAATCCTCTAATCACCTGAATAAACTTTTCTAGAAACACTTTTAGGAGAACAACAGGAGGAAAATGGAAATAAGTTTCTCCATAAGCTAAAACTAGCTTATACACAAGTTAAAATAAGATTTTGGAGAAGCTAATAGAAGAGAACTCATACAAATTATCATTTTAGCTTATAGAAAAATTTCATTTATTCTTCATATGTTTTTTTCTGCCAAAGTGCTTATGGGGAAGTTTACCCAAACAGATCCTAAATATTGTTTCTAGTTGAAACTAATTTTGGTAATTTAGTTTGCTTTTGCTGGTTCTAATTTCTTGTATGAATCAGGTTAAACTTGCAGAGAATCTTCCACACATTCAATCCCTCTGCATTCATGAGATGGTTACTCGAGCTTTCAAGCATCAACTTAAAGCAGTTATTGCCTCTGTTGATAATGTAGCTGATCTCTCTGCAGCCATTGCGTCAACACTGAATTTTTTACTTGGCGGGTGTCAAACAGAAGATACTGACCAAAGTTTGAGTGATGATCATAATCTCAGAATTCAGTGGTTACGAATATTTTTGTCCAAAAGATTTGGGTGGACATTGAATGATGAATTTCAACATTTGAGGAAGTTATCGATTCTCAGGGGACTCTGTCATAAGGTATCAACATTCCATCGCCTCATTGTATTTTCTTTACATGAATCTTTTATTAATTGCAGTTGTATTTGTTCTCAGGTTGGATTGGAATTGTTCCCAAGAGATTATGAGTTGGACTCCCATAAGCCCTTTGGGAAAAATGATATTATCAGCCTGGTTCCCGTTTGCAAGGTTAAATCATGTTTATGTATTAGTCTCCGAATCTATTCTGTGTATAAATGTATAATACAATAATTTTTATCCCACTGAACCATTTACATTTACAAACAAGAATTTATTTTTATTTTTTTAACAGCATGTAGGGTGCTCCTCAATAGATGGACGCAATTTATTGGAATCTTCTAAAATTGCTCTTGATAAAGGAAAGCTCGAGGATGCCGTAAATTATGGAACAAAGGTACCAATCACTTTCTTCGGTTTGTGTGATGCGTTATTTCTATTCTTTACTGGGTGTAAATATGGAAGTGTTTTGACAATACTATCATATTTCAGGCATTAGCTAAGATGATGGCTGTTTGTGGCCCCTATCACCGAAATACAGCAAGTGCGTATAGTCTTCTAGCTGTGGTTCTCTATCACACTGGAGATTTTAATCAGGTAAAGAATATTTCAGATTTATGTCCCAGCTATTGTAAAAATTTGAGATAAACATGTTATGGACTTGCTGAACATACATATCATGTAGTGATTGGTAGAAGGTCTGGTACTTACATCAATTTTTATTATTCTTTATTTAGGCCACTATTTATCAGCAAAAGGCATTGGATATAAATGAGAGGGAGCTTGGACTTGACCACCCGGACACAATGAAAAGCTATGGGGATCTTTCTGTTTTTTATTATCGTCTACAACACATTGAGTTGGCTCTGAAGTAAGTTAAACTTTGTTGAATTGGTTTAGTGTTTAAGTTATATGACTTTCTGCTTATTGTTACGAGATTTACTTCTTTCTCCTTGAACTAAATGTGTCTTTTGTTGTTAGGTATGTTAATCGTGCTCTATTCCTTCTCCATTTTACATGTGGGCTGTCTCATCCAAACACAGCTGCAACATATATAAATGTAGCTATGATGGAAGAGGGCATGGGAAATGTTCATGTAGCACTCAGATACTTGCATGAAGCTCTTAAATGCAACAAAAGATTGTTAGGAGCAGATCATATACAGGTATCTCTTCCTCCCTCCCTCCCTCCCTCTCTTTCACTCTCCTTATCCCTCCCTTCCTCATAGATGGAACAGTCTTTTAAACAGTATTTTTTGCATTTATAGACTGCTGCAAGCTATCACGCCATAGCTATAGCTCTTTCATTGATGGATGCATATTCTCTGAGTGTGCAACATGAGCAAACTACACTAAAGATACTTCAAGCAAAACTTGGATCAGAAGACCTCCGTACACAGGTCATTGCTTTTCTGATAGTACTACTAGTACATGTCAAATAATCTGCAGTTTCATACTGGTCTTGGATTGAACCAAGGATTGGAAAAATATGGGGGTTGATAGATGGTGTTGGCCAATGTTACCATTTCTTAAAGAATCTTTCTTCCAATGCAGGATGCTTCCGCATGGCTTGAATATTTTGAATCAAAAGCCATAGAGCAGCAAGAAGCAGCTAAAAATGGAACTCCAAAGCCTGATGCATCCATTGCAAGTAAAGGACACCTTAGGTAGTAACATGGTATCCCCGATTTACTGTGTTTCAAACAGGTTATGTTTCAGGGTACATATATATTTAACCTTTTTCATGCAGCGTGTCAGATCTCCTGGATTTTATTAGTCCTGACCCAAAAGGAAACGATGCTCAGAGGAAACAGAGGCGTGCAAAGGTGGGTTAATATTTTTCTAGATGATGTTTATCTCAAAGATAACCAGATAGCATTTCTTAAAATGTAACCAACAGATCCAGTACTCATTTATCAAATTTATTCTATGTATGTTCTTATGATATGCTACGGTAATACGTGCTTCTCTCTTGATTAAATACCTCTTGTTCCAGTTTCATTGGTCACGTGCCTTTCAGTAAGTACTGTCCTTAAGGGAAACAAGAAGACTAAGTTCCAAAGATTTTGGAAGTTTTTACCTTTATTAAAGTCAAGTTTGAACGGCATGCAATTGCAACCTATTACATTCTTTTGGAGTTAGCTTATAGTTCTAGGTGAAGTGCTATTAGAGTTTAATTTTAAATCGGAAGTAATTTTGATAGCATTTGATATCATTGTACCTTATTTTGTATTTGACTTGTTGCTTTTATTTTCAGATACTCCCAACAAGTGATAGCATCCGTCAAGAACATGATGATGCAATTGCTGATGAGAGCATACATTTTGATAACCCAAAAGATGCTCCAAGTATGGTAGAAGGCAATATAGAAGAAACAAATGGCACAATTGATTCTCAAGTACCGAAAGAAAATGGTGACTTCACTAGGTACAGGCCAGTGACAAGGGAAGTTGTTTCTGAGACATCATCTGATGAAGGTTGGCAAGAAGCCAATTCAAAAGGGCGGTCAGGAAATGCTGCTAACCGCAGCAAGTTTGGACGTAGAAAGCGACCAGTTCTATCAAAGCTCAGCATTAATGGTTCCAATAATTACCTTTACAAGGATGGAAGTTCTAGGAATGACATTACCTCGCCACCACAAAGAGGAGTTCCAAAAGTCATGTCAGATATGTCATCTCCATCTAGACAACCAAAAGCTCGAAACGTAGCTTTGAACGAGGATTCTGTTAATCATCCAACAAGAGCTTCTAAAATTTCATCTCCAGCATCTCTAAATTCCTTGGCTTCAAAGTCTATATCTTACAAAGAAGTGGCTTTGGCACCACCAGGTACAGTTTTGAAGCCATTGTTGGAAAAGGCTGAGATGGACAAGGCTAATGCTGAAGATGAGATATGCAGCAGTCCAGCTGTGACATCAACAAATGAAGGCACCTGCCAAAGTTCCATTATTAATACAGTTTCTCAGCATGATGAAACAGAGGAATCTCATGAAATTGAACCTAAACAAAATTCTACATCAGAACATGAGAAGGTTTCCCTTGCTTTTGATCAGGCAAAACCTACTGAAACAAATGGAAGTAAGCTTTCAGCTGCAGCCAAACCGTTCAATCCAGGAATGTTGTCCATGTCTCATCATTTAAATTCAGTTTCCCTCACAAGCATGTATGATACAGATGTTAGTCAAGGCATGCACGTGGAGCCTGTGCTTCCCCCTGCTGTTGCTAGGGTCCCTTGTGGGCCTAGATCACCTCTATATTACAGAACCAACTATACTTTTCGCATGAAACATGGTTTTGCTAAATGCCAAACCCCTATTAGGGAAAG